TGCTCTGTCAACATTCTTTGCATTTGGACTGTAATGGCATCAATCAGCAATCTATTGTCACCCCCCAGAGGAGGGGTACCACCACCACCTGTACCTGTCATCTTTCAAGTAAAAAAAAAAAGAACCAAACCAATGAAGTAATAGGACCTCACCACTCTTTTCACATGTTTGCACTCAAAGATGTACCACTCATGTTTACTCTCAATTTGGCTCTTATATAATATGTCCTCTTGCCTTTTTCCACTCGTTCTCTAACTTATGGTTTTTACAAGAATCAAACAATCTATAGTTCAAGAATCATTTTCAATTATAGCAATCACAAGGAATAAAACAGAATTATAGTACTAACAAAGGACAAGTAGCAAAGAACAATTTTACTACTAATAACAAGCAAGACAAATCTAAACTGTATGGGAAAACAAAGATTAGACAAAGACGCTTGACACTTAGGCATTTTATCAAACAACTAATGTGCATTGAAATTTAAAGGAAGAACAAATGTCACATATATATAATTTTTTTCTTTTTTTTTATTCTTTTCTTTCATTCTTTTCTGCAAAAAACTAATTTCGAACACAACTTTGATATATATATATATATATATATATATATATATGAAATTTAATATCAAAATTGCATAAACAAAAGACTCTTTTTTTTATAAAAATAGTACACGTGAGCAGTGTCGTTTGAACAATACCGTGAATAGTGTTGATGAATAGTACCACTTTTGAGTCTTGCTCTGAATACCAAATGACGACACTCAAATAGAAGGGAAACAATTTAGGGTTAGATTTTGGAAGGTGATTTGATTGGAAATAGAAAATAGAAAAAATAAAGGATAACGTAGGCGTCACAAATAAGAATATTTGATAAGCCAAGAAGGATCGCCACAAAAATTGGATAATTCTTTATAAGATCAAATGATGCAAGGAAAAATCTTAGCAGAGCAACAACTCACAAAGTGATTCTAAATACTATGTTCCTTCATTCTGAATTTCAAAAATGTTTAATACAACTTAAGTTTATGAGTTTGTCTTATTGCAAGAAATAAAGATAAATTAAAATCCTAATATCCTAAACAAAGTTAAGTTGCCTTGATAGTCCAGTAAAGACATTATAAGATTTCGATCCTGGGTTCAAATCCCCATTGTAGCAAATAAAATAATAATAATTAAATCTTTTAGTTGGGCCTCCTAGCTCTCCAAGTATTTTATGCATGTGATAGGTCTAGACTCCTCCTCCACGTTAAGAGCCTTTAATAGTTGGGTTTCTTGTGTTTTTCTAAGTTTGTCTCTTGTCATAGGTCCACCTAAGTCTTGGATTGAATCTTGGTCTTGATCCTTCTCGTCATGAGTTTGGGCTTTTATGTCCACATCATAAACACTACTATTTTTTTTTAAATTAATAATTTATTTGTAATCTCTTTGAACATTTGAATGTGATTATTATTTTCATTCTTTCTTTTATAGAAAATTTGCTCTTTTCTATTTTCTATGTTATATTTTAAAGTTGGTTTGTTCATGGTGGTGAAATTTTGAACCTTATTAATTGTGTGGTATTAAAAAAAAGAAATTTTAGTAAATATTTTTTTATCATATAAATTCATAAGAAAGGGATAAGAAAAAGAAAAAAAAGATTTTAGAGTCACTAGTTATTAAAACGATTATGAGAATTAAACAACTTTATAAAAAATTGAAATAAATTTATAAAAAACATATTTTACACTAGTATTATAACATTTTATGTTTACAGAAAATTTTCTTATTTATTTATTTATTATTGGATTTGCATAATCCATGTAAATTATTATTATTATTATTATTTGTAATAATGATGAAATAAATTTATAAAAAATATATTTTACACTAGTATTATAACATTTTTTGTTTACAGAAAATTTTATTATTTATTTATTTATTATTGGGTTTGCATAATCCATGTAAATTATTATTATTATTATTATTATTATTATTATTATTATTATTATTATTATTATTATTATTATTACTTGTAATAATGATGAAATAAATTTATAAAAAATATATTTTACACTAGTATTATAACATTTTTTGTTTACAGAAAATTTTCTTTTTTATTTATTTATTATTGGGTTTGCATAATCCATGTAAATTATTATTATTATTATTATTATTATTATTATTACTCCTAATAATGATGAAATAAATTTATAAAAAACATATTTTACCCTAGTATTATAACATTTTATGTTTACAGAAAAATTTCTTATTTATTTATTTATTATTGGATTTGCATAATCCATGTAAATTATTATTATTATTATTATTATTATTATTATTATTTGTAATAATGATGAAATAAATTTATAAAAAATATATTTTACACTAGTATTATAACATTTTTGTTTACAGAAAATTTTATTATTTATTTATTTATTATTGGGTTTGCATAATCCATGTAAATTATTATTATTATTATTATTATTATTATTATTATTATTACTTGTAATAATGATGAAATAAATTTATAAAAAATATATTTTACATTAGTATTATAACATTTTTTGTTTACAGAAAATTTTCTTTTTTATTTATTTATTATTGGGTTTGCATAATCCATGTAAATTATTATTATTATTATTATTATTATTATTATTATTATTATTATTACTCCTAATAATGATGAAATAAATTTATAAAAAACATATTTTACCCTAGTATTATAACATTTTATGTTTACAGAAAATTTTCTTATTTATTTATTTATTATTGGGTTTGCATAATCCATGTAAATTATTATTATTATTATTATTCGTAATAATGATGTCATGATGATAAACTATTGCGTGAATCAAGCTACAATAATATAATTAATAGAGTTAATCAACCTTGGTAACATATGGTTTGAAAAGTTTGAAGAATCGACACTCAATACAGTTATTAAGGGCAATGCAACAACCAAGAGGATGCAAAAGGTCAACCCTATTTTTCGTTATAGTTTCCTACATATCAAGGGTCCTGATTCGTTTAGTGAAAATTCAACTGCGATATTGATTGAAAATTGTATAAGCAGACACCACGCACTTTTAGCCGGAAAAGAGGATCTCTACACGTGCACCTACACTGCATCTCGCGGTCAACTATTGTAGGTAGAGATAATATAGTAGGGTTGGTGTAGAGTATTATAATGCCCTTTTTTTATTTATTTTAATATTCCTATCTGGCTTGATTATCTATATTTTAATTATGCATAATTTTAATAAAAAAATTATTATAACATTTCACAATTATGTATATATATATATATATATATATATATATATATATAGTTCACTTTTTATATTAGCAATGATAATAAAAGTGAAAAAAGCTTTAGCTTACTCATGATAACTTTTCAAATAACCTTTTTAACATATATAAACACGTTTATAACATTTGTGAAAAAAATGTAATTTTTATGAAATATGATTAGCAAATTAAAAATGGAAAAAGATTATCACATGCTCTTGTTTTGTATATATTGTATATATATATAGTAGTATTAAAATGTTTATAAGTATTAGTTGAAAATATCCATCCATGAGTTATTTATACTTATGAATATTTTTTATTTATTTATTTTTAAATCTAAATTAGACTATTTAAAAATTATTCTTTAAAATATAAATTAAAAAAATCTTAAAGTATAATCTAAATAAATTTTTATAAAAAAATATTAGTATAAATAAATTTAATCTCTCATAATAATACATTTAAATAAGTTATAATATAAAATATATTATAAATTCAAATAAAATTAAATTATTTAAAAAAAATTATATTCATAAATATTAATTAAATTTTAAAAGATTTTTTCGTAATAATTTTTTTATATATTTAAGATTTAGGATTTAAGATAACTTTTATAAATAAATTTATTATTATAATTTAATTATAAAAATTATTAATAAATACCACCTATAACTATCATTTACATATCTCATTAACAAGTTAATAATTAAAATATTTATTTATATTATCCACGAGACATTAGAAAAAGAAAATATCGCTAGTGTCTATAAAAAAAATTCTTACGTTAGTCAAGAAATAACAATGACTTTATGTCGACCAAATAATAAGATTAACAATAATAAGAGAAAGATAAAAAAAATCAACTATAAAATTAATAAAAATTAACATTTAGAAAAAAATCATAAACATAAAATAAGAATTTTTAAACATAAATGTAGACTCTTCCTCCCTTATAACTTGTAACTTAGTTTTATTATTATTTAGGCGTAAGTAAAATTCTTTTTTAATAAATAAGCAATTTAGCCCTAATCAGAGCATTAAGGGTGTGTGTATGTATATATATCTTGTACCTTATAAGTAACTAAGCCTGTTAATTGCTTGCATTATATTTTCTGGCCATGTTGTATAACCCGTAACAGAGTCATAAGAAACTCCATAAAATTATATTATAACAATTAAGCTTAAATATTCATCAGAATAACCCAAATTATGCAAAGTAACAATGTTTCTTTCTATCTTGCGTTTAACACTAATTTAAATCTGATATTCCACCTAATTAGTACTAATTGAACGATTATCAGTGATCGAAATATAATATTTGGGTAGCTCCATATTTCAGTATAAAAGGAAAAGATATCATCGATTACCAATTAAAGGACTTAATTTTGCATCATCACTTTTTTGTCCTTTAACTTTTGAAGCTTTCTTAAAACATCAGCAAAACAGGTTAACTTGTTTCATTATTTACGTTAATCAAACAGTAGGATCATGCTTGCACATCAATTATGCTCAAGCCGAGAATTTAGACGAATCTTTCTCTCATTCAACCTTGCAATTACAAGCAACAAGTTTTCGTCCCCTAAGATCATGGAGTATTTCACGAGAAACTACAGCTTAAATTGCAAACATGTTCCCATAATCATCACACGAAACTCTAGTTATAGCAAGTATATATCAACCTCAACCTCAAACTCAAACTGATATTCATCACTACTCATATTCTTCACTATGTCCAACACAATCCTAAAGCTCACAACAATTCTCATTCTGCTCATTTTTTCGACCCTGCATAATTCTCATTCTGCTTCTTCAACTGACGTAGATCAAGATCATGACATAAATGAGGAGGAAGAAGAAGAGTACGTTCTTGACACCCCAGTACCCCATCTGGGACCAAGAAGCAGATTTTTGGCCACCATAATAAGGAAAGGAAGACAGTGTAATCGCGAGACTTATAACATCTGCAATGGGGTCCGAGCAAACAAGGGGAGGGACCTACTTTTCTGCTGCAAGAAGCACTGTCGCAATGTTCATAGTGACAAGAACAACTGTGGGGCGTGTGGCCACAAGTGCAAGGAAGGAGAAAGATGCTGTAGTGGAGTTTGTACCAATGTTTTGTCCAATGCCAATCACTGTGGCAAGTGCAACAAGAAGTGTTCACCTGGTGATTCATGTGGGAATGGATTTTGTGGGTATGCATGAAAGGAAGTTATTGAAAAAGGTTAGGGGTCTTGTGATCCATATACTACTACCATGCAGCATTTTGAGATATAAAAAGATGAACAGTGCCTGCACATCTTCTAACACCTACTTTATTGGTTAAAAATATGAATAACTCACCAAAATTTGTGACTTTTAAAAAATTTCAATCAATCATAAAAATGTGTTAGGGAGAGTATTGTTAGCCTTTGAAATCCCATTTGTAGCCATTGTAGTTTTCCTCCCATTTTTAATCCATTAATAAAGGAATAAAAGGAGAGAGAAGAATTGGACTCATTAAATTTTATATAGTTATATATTTTAATTTTGTTGAGTGCTTTGGTTTGGTGTTTAGTTTATCTTCTTCAGAGTTATTGTTATTATAATTATTTTTTTACTATTTAAATTAATAACAAATTATTGGTTGGAACAATTAATAACGTATATGATGACAAGTGAGAACTCTTGTCAATATTTTTACTTTTAACAACAGTTAAAATGATAACAGTTTAGAATCATTGTCTTTTTTTATTATTTAACTATGGTTAAAGATTATTTGTGCATTTGAATTGTAAATGTTTACGAAAACAATTTTACATGTAAATTAAGTTTAATTAGTATTAGCTTCATTTTGAATAGATTAAATGTCTTTGTTTCGATTATAATCAAATTAAAGTTTTCTTTTTAAAATAAAGAATGATCGTAAGTATAATACACTATAAGTAAAAAAAATAGATTGATTTAGATGTTTGGTCGAAAAGAGGGTGAGTGTATAATATTATTGAGTTTTACATCTTCTCATACTAAGAACCTCTGTTAAATATTTTAGTTGTTTTTTTTTCAAGTATTATTTTTAGTTTATGTTTTTTAAATATGTATAATATTAACATTTTATTGTTTTTCGTCTCTAAAAAAGTTTTAGATATAATTTTTAAAAACTGTTTTTGAAAATAATTTAGAAAAAAAAACTTCTGATAACTTTTATTTTAATTTTTTTATATGAAAAAATGACATAAACTAAAAAAAATTAAGATAAAGGTTTAAACAAATTAAAATTTTTATGATGATAAAAATGAGTGATTTAATATAATTATAGGTTAAAATTTTGATATTAATTAGTAAAAATAGAAAAATTAAAATATTTTTTTATCAATTTTGGATTTCTAATTATTAAAATATATATATATATATATATATATATATATATATATATATATATATATATATAAACAGCTTTTAAAAATGATTTTAACAAAATATTTATCAAACAAGTTTTTTTTTTTTAGAAACTAAAAACTACTTTTAAATACAGGAAATAAATAAATCCTACATTTTTTAGCATCTCTAACTCCTAAAAACAATCTTAAATTTACGCATGAAATTTTATAAATTCTGTCTTATGTGAGATCTGTTTTTAATACTAAGATTTAACATTTGAATAATTAAATTAGTTTTTCAAGCCGTAAAAGATTGAAATGCAAATAAAAATTAATAAAAGTATGAATTCTTATTATACTTTATTGTTATAATAATGAATTGATTAAAAATGATATATCCATCGAAAGTGGCATGATAGGCCTCGTAAATTTTTTATAAGACTTTGCATAGTATATGATGTTACTATTAAGTCATTCATATTTCATTATATTTTGTATTTATTCCATACTTAATAATGGGTGTTAGGCTATTCTAAAATATTTATAGAATTCATATTCATATAAGTTTTGAAAATAACATTCTTTTAAGAATTGATTATAATAATTTCAAATGCATTTTTCATATAATTTTGTTTCTCTAACCCATAATGAAATTCAATAAGTTCTAATATTTATTTATCCTGTAACATCCTTAACCAATATTATATATATATATATATATATATATATATATATATATATATAATTAGAAATTATTAGAGATCACATATAATTTAAAAAATATATGTATATTTGGAATAAATTATAATTTTGGTTCTTCTTTAATCTTTTATCCATGATTTTGAACCTTATATTTCTTTTTCACTAGTTTCTCAATTTTAAAAAATAACAATTTTAATTTTATTTTACATGTACTTTTTATTCAATTAAATCTTAAACTGAATGTATTATAAAAACAATTAATTAATATATGATGAATTATGCTCAAAAGAATGTTGGTCATTTTCCATGTCTAAAATAATTCATCACATCTTTATCCTTAAAAGAATTCTTAATCAATTAAAATACTAATTTTTACTATTTATATGTTATATTTAAATATATCACACTAATTCGTTATATATGGATGATGAGATCACATTAATATAGAGCCACTCATTCGTTTTTATTTGATAGATGATCAAAATTTCATCTGGGTTCAAATCCTACTGATAGGTCTATTAGAGATTAAAAAATTGTTGAAAAAAAAAACCAAAACATCTTGCTCTTTCTAGGTGATTGGAAAAGAAAGAAACAGTCAATTTCTTCAAGATTATGTACTTACAAAATACTATCAAAATTATGTACTTACAAAATACTATATCAATTAATCATATTTCATTGAAGATGTGATATGGTTCTAAATGGTGAAATGAACCGTTCCACTAAGATTTCATTATCAAACAAAAATCCAATAGACATTTTGGAGGGAGGGTCTCATTTGCGTGCATCTAGTAGAAATTGAATTGGCCATACACTCCTAAGCTATGTGAGGCTTATAAGTAGTGACAAATTTTATTGGGAATTGAGGGGGGTCCTGGGTCCCCCTTTTAAAGTTTTGTAACTCTTTTGTAATTTATGATTTTGACTTCCCCAAACTTAAATGATGATTTAATATATTTATAATTTTATCTTCTCATCCTCCTTTAAGTTTTGTAACACTCATATAATTTACAATTTTGGTCCCCAAACTTAATAATCATTTAATATATTTACAGTTTTATCATCTCACCCTTTCATATTATTTTACCCTTTTATATTTTTTATATTTATTTATTATTTATTAATAATATATTATTTGCCTTCCAAAATCAATGGTCAAGATCTACTATTACTTGTGAGTGTATTGGAACATAAGTTTGCCCGTCGAGGACTAAAGGATATGAGGGAAGTGAAACTTTACTATCAGCCCCATGGTGGACACTAATTCATCTAGTAACGAGAGTGTCCTGATCTCAAGTCCACCATGATAATATTATTAGAGTCAATCTATATGTTTGATGTAATGTCTGCTTAGAAACTCTTGTCACGATTTTGTTTTTAAAAGACAACTCAGTAGGTTAAAAGACAACTCGGTAGGTTATTTTCCGACGGCTACAAATCCGTCGGTAAATATTCGTCTGTAATACGCGATTTTCTTGTAGTGTACTAAGTGATAGGAGAGAACATCTTATATAAATACAATAATATTATAATACATAAATAAATATAACCATCATAAAGAAGTTTTGTCAAGTATTTAAAAAAATTAAATTATAAAAAAATATAAGAACAAAATCCACATATTAAAAATAAAAGAATTACAATTATATTTTAATTATTCAAAATTACATTATAGCTCTGATTTTTTTTTTTGAATAAAAAAGATGTATGCTTTTATTATATATGTATATAAATATAATCATAAAACTCAACATGTGCCAAATAACAACCCACGTAGAGAACCTGATAGAGAGCAACGTAAACGGCCCAATATGGCCCAGTTCTCCTAAACAGAGGCACTTCACTAACCAGATTGATGGATTGATACATATACATTGGTTACAATTTCAAACATGTCCATTTTTATTATTGTAATTGAATCCATTCGCCACTTAAAACCCTAAACCCAAACCTTCTTCCCGAGTTGCACGTGTACCAAGGGTTCGGGGTTGCGTGCGTGCGAGCGAACTGGTACTGCGATCTCCTTCTCCATCTTCACCTTACTGGGTAAGCCCAATGGAATTCTTCGCATGTTGATGTTTTCGATTCGCTTGTTTTACGCGGATACATTTTTTTTTTCTGTAGATCTGCCATGCTAGCATTTTCTAAAGGCGTCGTTTCTCGTCTGCAACGTCTCGCCGTCGATTCACCCTCGTCGCTCCGATCTCTTAGTTCCGATGCAGCGATTCAGACTCGGATTATTGACCCCAAACCTGGTGTGATGACCCCTAATTCCAAGCGAACTGGGCTTATAGCAGTAAAGTGTGGAATGAGCGCGCTTTGGGATAAATGGGGTGCTAGAATTCCAATAAGTGTGCTTTGGGTTGATGATAACATTGTGTCTCAGGTTAAGACCCCAGAGAAAGAAGGTTTTTGTTCTCTCCAGGTACACCTCTCTTCTCTTTTAGTTACCCTTTCTTAAATCTAATTTTTCTCCTACTGTACTTGTTTGCTGTATTTGGAATTTAACGTTCACCTGAGTAAGATTAAGTTTGTACAGAATGGTCACAAGCATATGTATGGGTTCACTTTTCCCTGACTTGCATAAACAGCTACTTTAGGGCCTTAGGCTTGCATTTTGCAAGATGGACTTGTGTTAACGCATAAACTAAGAAATGAGAGGGAAAGCAATAGCTAGTTTGAGTCTGAATTGTTTAGATGATGTGCATTCTTGGTGGAGGTCAATGAAACGGTGTACATAAACAACTGCATTTGAATGCACTAGGTAGGAAAGAAATGAAAATTAAAATAAGCCAACATTTAAGTGGTGCAGGCATTACTGACAGTTGCACTAGTCTTCATTAAAGAGGTGTAATTTGATCTTAGATTGTTTTGGGTTTAATTGCCACTTGGGCCCACAAAACAAATTGGATTTAAAATTGGTTCATTATACTGAACTGGTTTAAGGAAACTGGTTTGGGTTATTAAACTGTTTAAACAGTTTGGATATTTTGTGCTGTGCTACAATTTAGCTACACCTTGGTTTTTACAGTGGTGTACTGTTTTTAAGTGTTTGTGTCTATCTAATTATAGACTTTTTGCTCTTTTGTTTCTAGTTAGATTGGTTGTGGACATAAGAAGGATAAACATCTGACCAAGCCTGAAGTGGGTCATTTTAGGGCTCAAGGAGTTCCACTGAAGAGGAAGCTCAAGGAGTTTCCAGTCACAGAGGATGCACTACTTCCTGTTGGAACATCACTTAATGTTCGCCATTTTGTTCCTGGACAGTATGTTGATATTACGGGAATAACCAAAGGGAAAGGTTTTCAGGTGTTTTTCTCCTTCATGTTAAATATGTTGATTTTACCCTGTTTAAAAAAAAAAAAAAAATCTATTTGTGTATCTGTTGAAGTTTATATATATTGTGCTGTATTTCTACATATTATCATATTGTTTTCCGTTTCTTTTTATTCTGTGCATGCGGATCCTTCAATTTGAGTATAGAAGACACTGAAATGATGCTGCAGTTTTTTGGATTTAAGTCTCTTCAAATTATGAGTGTCAATTTCAAATACCTTTATTTATTATTTGCAGGGTGCGATGAAGCGGCATGGATTTAAGGGAATGCCAGCATCCCATGGTGCTTCATTGTCCCATCGAAGCCTTGGTTCTACAGGTCATATTACTGGTCCTGGAAAGGTAAGTTATACTCTTTTTAGTTCCTTGAATAAGCTCTAACTTGCTTACATTAATTTTTGTTCGCTGATTGTTTTAAATATTTTTCCCATTACCCTTCAGGTTTTTAAAGGTAAAAAGATGCCTGGACGAATGGGTGGAGATCAAAGAACAGTTAAAAATGTATGGGTCTACAAAATTGACCCAGCAAGAAATTTGATGTGGGTGAAAGGACAGGTAAATTCTTTTTCTTTCTTTAAGACATTCAGATTGGAGCCAAAGGGTAACAAATGGTAAGAAATGTCTGCATATAGGCAATGTTATTAAATAAACCGGTGAAAACAGGGATTCGGATTTAAAAATTCAATCATATTTTTTTTTTTTTATAATATAATAAGTACACAAGTTTGTTAATAACTATAATTTTTTACAAAAGAAAGAAAATTAAGCCTCATAATAGCAGAGGCAGTTATTACGGTTGCCATAAAGAATGAAATATTGATAATCTTGAAAGGAAAATAAAAATATAGGAAAATAACTATTATTTAAAGTTGACAAGATTAGGGCAAGAATTTTTTTTTTGAAAATATATCTTTTATAAAAATTATCTTTAAAATAATTTTAAAAATATAATCTTAATCTTTTTTTTTCATTGAAACTACCCTAAAAATTTAGTCAATTTTATATTGGTTGAATTAAAATTTGGTTATTTGGAGATATCATATGGAATAATTTTGAATTTTGAATCTAGTTGGACCGGTTAAGGTTTTCAAAACAATGCTTATCATATGCAATAATGCTTTAATTTTTTTAATTAATTCAAAACACACTTAATTATTGTTATTTCAGTTTATGTTTGAGCTAAATTACATGTGCAAATTTTGTGGTTGATTTGCCACTTCATAAGTTGCCTTTGATGTGAACAACAGGTCCCAGGAGCTACAGGGAACTTTGTTTTTATAAAAGATGCTGTCTATGAAAAACCTGACATATCTCTGCTTCCTTTCCCCACCTACTTTGTCCCAGAAGATGAAGATATCAATAATTTGAAACCATTGGTGGCTGAACTTGGAGACGTGGATCCGTTTATGGTTACTGATTGAAGAGAGGGTGAAATGAGATTTTTGAGGAACCGCCCGATGATGATTTTTTACTTGTCTTTTACGGAAGCTTTAGAGTGGTTTACGATATTGGCCAAATCTAAATTAAGATTGGGCTAAACATGTTATAAATAAGTGTGGAGATTTGATATTGGCCAAATCTAAATTAAGATTGGGCTAAACATGTTATAAATAAGTGTGGAGATTTGGCATTAATGAATATCATATGATTTATTTTAATCATTTTCTAATCAAATCGTTTCCTTTTTTAGGCAATATAATCAACATTGTTCATGCAGAGATCATGACTTTTAACCAAGTTTTCTCTCTTAATCTTTCTGATTGTGATAACTGAGAGGACTGTTTTTTATTATGGAACAGATTTCCTAAATTTATGTTATCTGCTGGATGATAAATTACCTCCCCACTTTCATGTCTAGCAGGTTTAATTCTTTGGATGAAAAAAGAATGTACCCAAGAGGCCAGAGTTAATATAATAGGTCGTCAAACGATACTCTTTGTACAATCTATTCTTGTGTAAATTTAGCATAGTCGTAGTTTTAATTAAGAGGATTATGACAATATATCATGTAGTTTTTTTTTTTTTCTAATTTATGTGAAATGAATTTTCAAACTTCTTAGTTTTTTTTGGCTGAATGTATGTCCTAAGTTGTTTTAGAATTTGTACCGAAACTTAATGAACAGGTACTTTTAGAACTTGTTTTGTTGGATTTATCAAAGGATAGGTCTCAACGCTGTGATAATAATCAACAATTTACACAATGGCTTCAACTTTATGCTTTAATTTTTATTTTTATTAATGATATTTACGTCTTTATTGATCATTATATTATATCATCTGTTTTTATTATTATAAAACTATTAAAAATTATTTCAATTTTTATTATTGTTGATGCTGTATATTTTTTTTATCTAAACTAATATTTTAAATTATAATTATTAAATGTTTTTCAGTTTATTTTAAAAAATTAAATTAATTTCTATAATTGTTTTTAAAAATATATTAAACAAGTTCTTATGTTTTTTAGCATAAAAATATGATAAGTATAATGTATAAGTTAAATTTGAATTTTTGTTATATGTGGATCAATAAAACTTAATTTTGAGAGGAGGACACGTGGTTTTTAACGAAAATATTAAAAAAATATTCTAATTTATTTTTTCTTTGTAAACTTATATTTATGTTTTTGTTAAAAATGTTATTTTTTTTATTTCGGACATAAACCTCTTCTTATTTAGATATGAACATCCTTGATCACAACGGTGCCACTTCAACTTAAAAGACTACTCAAGTTCATATTTTCTATAAAAAGAACACTTTGCGATAAAACAATTTTTAGGATCGAAACTTTCCGATACACGGGATCTTTGTTGAGAATAATAATAAGAACTATATGTTTCAGACTTTCAGAGAAAAAAAAAACTTAAAGAGAAAACATTTTTAAAAAGAGAATTTGTATTTGATTGATCCTTGTTGGTTCTATTTTACAACATTACAAGCCCTCCTATTTATAGGCAAAACATATACACGAAATTAAAATTTTCGCTAAAATTAAAATGAACTTCAGACTCGAAATATCATATAAAGTGGAATTCAAATATAAGGTTACGACCCACACTCATTATGACTTTACAAACAAGATAAGATAAGATGCAATAAGATATCTTATAGACAAGATAAGATGCGATGTGATATCTTACAAATAAGATATCATATCTCATTAGATAAAGTAAAGTTGATTTGGTCTCATCTTCATTAACACGTTTGCGAAGTTTGTAATGGACACAGGTAAAGATAAGGAAATCATGTTTTAGTAACTTGTCATGATGATAGTCATTGACTAAAGCCTTTCAGATCTAGTGGAGCCAGAATGATTCATCTACTAGGCCTAGCTCCTTTCTTTATGTCTCGTCATTTTCTCCATCAATTCTTCATTGTAATCATTCACTAAGTCTTCAACCTTTTGGAATTTTTTTTCGGATACGTAGATTTCAGTCATTGAGTTGAAGAACCTTATCTGTTGAGATCCATCGTCTTTTGGAACGATCCTATTCAGATGATAAGAACTAAGTGACCTTTGGGATGAACTGACAATATTGAGGTCCACCGGCTTGTAATGGTAATTGTTGACTTCATAGAGGTGATGAGCCAGTTGGGTCCTGTAACTTTCATCAAGAGGATAGGTCTCAAAGCTGTCTCAGACGTAGACTTCATTTCTTGAACATAATTGACCTGTAAGATTTTGAAAGTATGGACAGTGGATGTGAAGATCGAGGTTAGATCTTTGAAAAAGTCTCCAATCACTCCCCTTTGTCTTTGACAATCTAAAATCCTCTTGAGCTCTTGTCTCCACAAAGATAGTGGTGATAACCACTTGAGTGGAGTCCAGAAGTGAAACTTGTCATTATAAGGATCTGTCAAGATTCTATAGGTTGTCTGTGTTTTCAATGCAATAAGAATGAAGTATTAAACAGTGTCACACCATATGGTCCAAAGTGTTGGCTCACAGAGGTCCCAACCTGGATCACAAAATAATTCAAAAATTCCCCCAAAGGAAATATCAGGGTTAAAAATGTAAGCTGAGATGATTTTGTATTTCATGGTTTCATGAAGAAACTCGCTACTGAAGGATATCTGCTGGTGCGGTTGGGTTCAGTCCAGGAGGATAGACCTTTACAGTTTTGAATTTGTTAGAGAGAGACTTGACCATGAAGATAAGGGGAAGACTATAGGTATCATAAATCAATTGGACAATTTTCTTAGGTTGGGAGAGGAAATCAGGGACTGTGTTTAAGTTTCCTTTGATGTGCTTAACAGTAAAATCATACCTAGAAAACCAGTCCGTAAGCCGAAGAATCTGAGGATTAGGAGGCATTTTGTTTTTGAACTCTGGGATCTTTGCGAATAAAGAGTTGTTCATCTATACCTCGAAATGATGTTCTCTGACATAGAAGTCAAACTTTTTTATTCCATTCTTAACGGTCAAGGCTTCCTTGAAGGTGGTGTGGTAATGTTTCTCGATATCCTTGAATTGTCCACTTGCATGACCATAGTAGTATTTTTTCCTATTGTCTTTTTCGATGAGAACTGCTCCCCAATAGTCATCACTAGCATCAGTCTGCAATATATACTTTTCCAGTTGCCTGGAATCTTTAGAGCTGGAGGAGTCTGAGTTACCTTCTTCAGTTCTTTAATTGCTTTGGTTTGATCTGGTCCCCACTGAGGTGGGTTCTTTCTTAGTAGCTTAGATAGAGGACTTCTGTATCTGACAACGTTAGGATGAATTCCCTAATGTAATTGACTATTCCAAGAAACTGTTGGATCTGCTTGACGTCAGATTTTCATCTGGGAAGTTAAGAAGTTCTTCAGCGATGTGAAGTTGAGGTTGATATGAGCCTTGACAGAAATGCATACCCAAAATATCAATTTCCTTTTGGGCTAAGTAGATCTTCTTCTCTGAAAGCATAATCCCGTATTGATGGACTATTCCAAAAAATCGATCCAACAATAATTGTTTATGAGAGTCCATGTCTTGTGAGAATAGGAAGATGCCATCAATATAAATGATCACTCTGTCTAGTATGGGTTCAAAGATTTTTATCATGACTTTTTGGAATAGTGATGAGACTGTCTTAAGTCCAAAGAACATTACTTTCTATTGGTATTGGACATTGGGCAGAAAGCAGTCTTGTATTGGTCAGATGGGTCAATGCCTAATTGCCAAAATCCGGATTTGAGGTCGAACTTAGAAAAGATACAGGCTTCTTTTATCAGAGTGGGTAAGGATGAGACTTTGGGTATTGAAAATTTGTCATCCGTAAAAAAATAATTAAGAGACTTGTAATTGATGACTAACCTCTTTTTCCCTCTGATTTTCTCGGACTTCTTTTCCACATAAAAGGCTTGACAGACCCAATTGGATTGGGTGGGTTCGATCAGACCTTGTTTCAATAGTTCCTGGCATTCTTGTCTGGCTAGCTGTAAGTCTAATGGAGACATCTTTTGATGTGTAGCCTTCGTCGGATTGACGTCTTCATTGAGCTTGAAGGGTAACTTGTTGGCAAAATTTGGGTCATGTATATATATGATACATAATTTAAATGTGTTAGAACCATTATTTATTAAGCCAAATAATAAAGTGATCTGACTAAATTAAAAAGTTTGGCTAAAGGCATATGTCATGAAAATAAAATTGTATAGAGACCATAAAACAATTTCTAATTTGATGAGGGGCCAAATTAGAAATACTAAAACTTAAGTAATTAACCTAATTCTAGTTATTTTAAGGGGTCATGGTCCCCTTCTGGGAGCACACAGACAGAACATAAGTTTCACTTTCGTTCCTTTCTTTCTATCCCCATCAAGAGGAAAATACAGGTGCTCTTCAGGTGGAAGACCATAAGATCAATATAGTGCTCTACAAAGACATCATCATTATGGCTAATTCAGGTACGCTTTCGCATTCAGTTTACAACATGTTTATCAGTATGGGATTACGCTTATGTTTGATCGTTAGAATCAAAATCAGGATTATAATTATTATTAGTTTTCCAACAATTGGTATCAGAGCCGCCCATACTTGATTCATGTCTGTCTGAAGAAATATTTAAACAAATTCAGATTCTGTTTAATTTATAATATCCCAATTACTGTGAACCCTAAAAATTTAAATTTGGGGGTAATATCCCCAATCTGATTCTACTCGCTGATGGAACCGTGGAGGAAGCTATGAATTCTTCTTCTTTTTCGTTTTTCCCTTTTGTTTCAGTTTAAGTTTCAAGTTTTACTGAGAAAGAAATAATGTTTCAAATTTCAATCTTTCTGGTATTGGGTTCTCTGTTCTCTTTGAATCTTTTGTTTTTGTTTTTATTTAATTTTCTGGGTTTTGTTTTCGTTTTCTTTTCATGGTGGATATGGATGAGTTTGGAATTGGGGGTGGTGTTTGTGGAGTTCCCAACATAGAGTATCTTAGGAAACTGGT